GCTGATGCAAGTGAGAGCCACAAAATCACCACTGAAGAAAATGCACAAAGAAATGCTGCAAGCTCGTTTGTGTCCCCTCAATACCAAGAGCCCAGTCTGGAGAACTGGCTGCCTTTCCAAACTCCCTGGCAGCCTGGACCATTTATCTCCTATGCGATCTGGTATAAAAAAAAAAAAAACCTTTCTTTTTTTCTTTAGATTACACTCATTACATGTAATAAAATTAGTTTTGTTAGAATTCAGTGAAATACCACATATTTTACCTGTTGCAATAGTAAAATTTCAGTGCGCTGTATACAAAAAATTAAACAATTCAAACAAAACCAAATCCAATAATGCTAAACAAAAATCCCCCACAAAACTGTAAGAACGTACAGTGCATACATCCAACAGACCATGCAAAATAAGGATTCCATTCAAATTTCACATCTCATTAAAGACAATTTGACCATTAATCCATACGGGTTTAGGAGCAAAGAAGGATTTTCCAAGACAGATAAACTGAAATGATCCTCCTTTGATCCCGGAGGTTAAGAATCGGCGACAATGGAAGATGAACAACAAGGGGCAGAACGCCTGGCCTCTTTATGTGCCACAATGGCATCGGCAAACAACTACTTAATCAATATTTGGCCAGGGACACTGAAAACTTCCTTTTCAAATTTTAATTCCTAGTTGTAAAACAACTGTAGGGCAACCAGCAAGATAAGACATTAAACTGACTGCTTAATTGCCTTTTACTGTCCTACTAGTTATATATGCACATTCTTAATAGTTCGTGGATCTTTATTTACTAGGATGAATAAATGACCTGTCGAAAATTACATCAAACTCCGCTAACTAAATAATCTCGGCGCATGACACACTTTAACTCTAATGTGTCCTCAGTGAGTTTTAATTTCATTAGGCTTTACTTTTTTTTCTAGGCAGAGTGATTTAAACTGAATTAGTTTAACAGCATGGGGCAGGAGTACTCCAGGGCAAGTACGGTAAAATGCTGCGCTCACGCTATGCTAAACACGGTCTTGCGGTAAATTACGTTACTGTACATCATTTTTATTAGCCAGAGCCCTCAGAGTTCGGGGAACACTTGGAAATATCCTGCATTTTTATTTATATATTTTGTTCTTTCTCTAGCCACATGTGTTTGTTACGTAGGATTTAAAGTGACATTTACATGGAGAAATTCGCATTGACTGGCTTGCTCTGATTTATTGCTTTACGTTTCACTCAATTTCTTCTTAAATTAACCAGAGAGCACTTTGTAGTTCTGCTTCATTTCCCAATGAAGTTTTATTACACAGCCCTGGGGACTCGTGATAATTTATCACTATCAACTTTATTGGTTTCCCTCTTCTAAACCCGGATCCAACCCTTATCAATAAGTAAACCTAATACCAAACTAAACCTTCCCTGAGTAAGTGTTAGATAAAAGCGTCATCTTTGACTAATATGACAGAGAATTGCTATTTGAAATCAGACCCGGAAAATAATCCGTTTTAAGGATTCCACCAGCATCAACTTTTACTTTCAGCATTAATTTCCAATTTTTTTTTAATCTAATTAAAATCTCTGGCTGTCTGCTGATACCATCACTACCTTTGAGCAGACACAGATAGAGAGATCCTTGCCCTCGATGAGAGTTTTGCCAGAGACTTTCACTGGGGATTAGAGTCACACTCTTGTTTAGTGGGTACTTTCTGCTAACAGAATAGAACAAATTTGGGCCCCATTCCTGCCCGCCCCAACCCACGTGAGTAACTTTACACACATGAATAGGCCCTTTGAGCGGGACTCCTCACCATTACCCGCACACGATAGCATTTGCAGAACTGGAGGTCTGATACCCGATCCAGTAAACCTAAACCTGAGGATTTCCCCCAGAGCTGCAGTTGCTCAGCACGTTACAGAGCTGGTTTCAAGAAGAGCCTGATCCCTGCCATGGTAAATTCCTACTGACGTCAAGAGTTTTGCAGTCGTAAGAGAATCCAGAAAGCCAAAGATAAAAATCACATTTTCAGAGCACGTCCTAGCCACACGGAAGTCAACTGACTGTGTTTCTTGCCTCGGCCTTTCCACAATGACACTGTGTAAGTCTAATCGATTATTAAGACTTTCAGAGCAACCAAATCAGATGCAAACTCAGGTACAAACTCAAGTAAATCAACTGCTGTGTGTGAAACAATCCTGGTATTTGCTAAAATAACATTTGCCTTTGCTCTAGATGCACGCACTTAGAACTGGAAAGGATGGCCACGGCAGTTCTGTCTGAATAGGTGCCAGCTCTTTTTGAGGTAAAGGAAGTCCTCCTAGGATGGCAAAACACGCAAATCCATTAACGAAATCGTGATTTCAAGAAACGGATATGATGTATTATATATTCCTTCAGAGAGCCGCAGCTAGACCAAGTAGCAGCCTCTCCTCCCCCAGCTGGAAGGATGGCCAGTGCTCAGGTAAGGCGACGAGTGTGCCGCTGGGCTGCCAGCTAGGATGCTCCCCAAAGTCCCCCAGCTCGCCTGCAAGTCAGGAGGGCACAGGCTGCTCCTGGCATCTCCAGAGCAGCAAACTCCACTCTGAAGTCACTCGAAGCAGAAACATTCAGCACCTTTCTGAAAATGCTCAGCATGCTGGGACGTCACGCTCTCACTGCTTGGTGAGTTATTGATAGCAGAGGTCATCAGTTTTTATTTTTTGCTCAGAATAATGATTTGGAAGCGGGAGCCTGGCCCACAGCGACAACATGTCAGGCAGAAGAAACAAAGTTCAGAGCTACAGTCCAGGTAAAAGAGACGTCAGCACCTATTTCAATTTGCACTTGTGCGGCACCTGGCTTTCCTATCCAGGGCTGGACTCACACACTATTGAGACGGGAGGAAAGAAAGGGAAAAAGGCAGACAGAAAATGCTGTTAGCACTACCTGCCTTGAGCCAAATCCTGGAGCCACTAGGGAGTTTTTCTTAATTAAGCACTATTTTCTTGTCAGCTCTGAGACCCTCAGAAACAAAACTCTGTTCAAGTTACACGAGCTGATTTTTAAGACCTGCTAGGAACCGAACATGTAAAGTACTGTATGAAATTCCAGACTCGAGATGATAATTGCCTGCAGCCACAGTCATCACGTTTCATTCAGTAAGCGAATCTTTACTGGGAACACTGAGCGAGGGAAGACGTTGTGCTTCTCAGGCGTAAGGCACAACAGTATTTCGCAGGACAAGTCAGTCCTCCTACCACTGCGCCCTGGGACAGGATGCTGGAGCAAAATCGCGGCGAGCCCTGCGTCAGAAAATCACAACCAAAAATCTAACTCAGCATCTGCCTCATCCCATGCTCCGGCTGCTAGCCCGACAGTCTATGAAGCAGAAATGAATGGGATGACTCAAACTGATATCTGGTGCCTGCATGTTAATCCTGTCCCTTAATAAACTGCCTTTATTAGTTTAACAACCTAAAAATAACTGGCTGCATGATACTGACCAACCCTAATTAAAACATCCGCAAGCCCATCTAGCCTGAGCTCCCCTTTAGATCATGTGCCACCACTTCAAAGCCTGCACATCAAGTCAGTAATTGTAACGCTGCATCTAAATATTTAAGCTAGGGGCTGGTAGTCGCGTGTCCCATTTACAGTCGGCATCTGTCCTCTAATTCCATTACAGTACAAAGCAAAAATGTTTCCCAAAACTCGCAAACAGGAAAAGCATCACTCAGCTAGAGAAGCAGCAGCAGCTTGAACTTTCTAGCTGCTGAGCAGGGCTTTTGTGCTAAGGTTTTTTTTCTCCCCCCCCCCCTTCAAACTCCCCACATACACACACAAAAATAGGGGTGGTGCTGAAATTGTATTAATGTGAGCCTCAGGCACACAGAAAAAAAAAGAAAAGAGGAAGGGGAGGGAGAGGGGGGAAGGGTTTGGTCCAAGATGAAAGTAAGAAGGAAATAAAGGAGGCAATTTAGTCTGCTGTAGCCTGAATTGCTCTCAGTACAGCCAAGGGTAGAGGCTTGGGATGAGTAGGGCCCTTTTTGGACGGGTGTGCATGACTGGGGGAGGATCCGCCAGGACAGGGCCTGGGGGCCAATTCCGCCGGCTGGGAACAGAGCCCCCTTTGAGGCCAGGCGGGGGGGTCCCGGCCCCAGCCCCAGCCCCAGCCACCCGCTCGCAGCGGCCCGAGGACCAGCTCTACGCCCCATCGTTTGAGCGCTGAAAGCCGCCGGTTTCTGCCAGAAAACAACAGCTATCTTATGAAGCGGGGAGTTATCAGATTAGTCAGCAAACCATGCCGCGCATAACTCCCGCTAAAGGTACAAGCGACTCCCTCTTCTGTAGCAGTTATGCTAAAAATATGCCCTGATGTACCATATAAAGGCACAAAAGTTTCTCTTTCATGTTCTTTATTTATGGCTTATGCCTTTAAGAAAAATATATCACGCATGCAGAAATACAGATATGCTATTATAGAATTATAAGCTTCCTGATACGTGCTGCGGCAATCAAGGTTTTCTTTAAATAGATATATCCAAAATCGGGGTAGAGGGTGACACTGACAGAAATGCCAAAATACAGCAAAGCTGGCTGTACACGCGGCGTCTGTAAAGGCCGGCGAGAGAATCAGAATTAAGTGTCCATGAACAGAAGCTGAAACATAATCACAGCGGGGTGTATGAAAGTTTACCTATGCTTATATATGTGATGGGAGAAATCCCAAGCCACACAAGATACTGTTTCTATCGCACATTTGTCAAAAATATCACATTTCTCTTTTCGCCTGTCCCACTCTGCTGTAAGTACTCCCCAAATCTTGAATTAGCTACCATTAAAATTACAACAATTGTTATCCTTTCCCTCAGAAAAAACGTCTCTCCCCAAGCCACCCAAATGCCCATGGTGAGGAGGGGACAAAGTTTCTCTTTCATGTTCTTTATTTATGGCTTATGCCTTTAAGAAAAATATATCACGCATGCAGAAATACAGATATGCTATTATAGAATTATAAGCTTCCTGATACGTGCTGCGGCAATCAAGGTTTTCTTTAAATAGATATATCCAAAATCGGGGTAGAAGGTGACACTGACAGAAATGCCAAAATACAGCAAAGCTGGCTGTACACGCGGCGTCTGTAAAGGCCGGCGAGAGAATCAGAATTAAGTGTCCATGAACAGAAGCTGAAACATAATCACAGCGGGGTGTATGAAAGTTTACCTATGCTTATATATGTGATGGGAGAAATCCCAAGCCACACAAGATACTGTTTCTATCGCACATTTGTCAAAAATATCACATTTCTCTTTTCGCCTGTCCCACTCTGCTGTAAGTACTCCCCAAATCTTGAATTAGCTACCATTAAAATTACAACAATTGTTATCCTTTCCCTCGGAAAAAACGTCTCTCCCCAAGCCACCCAAATGCCCATGGTGAGGAGGGGATTTCAGGCAACATCAGCAAATGTCCAGCGCTAGAGGTGTGCTCCCAAGCAGGAGAGCAATTCCCAAAAGCCTCCCCTTGCACCTCCCTGCAGTAGCTCCTGCTACTGGGATACCCCGAGCCCCTGAGACCAGAGCTATAAAAATTACACAAACCATAACAGACTCCAAAACACCACACTTTTTTCCCACCGTAAGGCAGAGGACCCCCGTGCAGAGCCCTCGGGGGTCAGCTACCACAGGAGGGGTTTGCTGCGCACCGCCGGAATAACGTTCGGACATACTGCAAGCAAGCCCAGCGCCAGAGAGGGCATCCGAGACGCCCTGTCAGCAGGCACCCTCTGCCACACCAGGCCTCGCCGCCGAGCTGGTGGGTGCTGGCAAATACGATCCTGTGGCATCAAAATCCTCAGGAGCGCTGCCAGTTATTTCAGTAAGAGAGCAGGATCTGACCCAATGATTTTTTATAGACAGGGTGAAATGGAAGCTCCTCTGCTGGCAATGGGAACTGAAGCAGAACCTTTTTTTTTGTTGGCCGGGTATGAAAAGTATGGTGGACTTATTTTATGGTTATTTTTTTCTTATAATGAGCTCTCCGATGTGCTGTCTATAGTACCACACTATACCTAAGGCACGTGTATAGTAACAAATCTTTGTCTTGAGCAGCAGCTCTCTCGCATTGCAGCATCCCGGCCACTCCAGTAATAAGATTAAGCAACAGCTTGCTAGTCAGGGAGGGGGCGCAGGCGTTGCTGTGGGGAAGAGCATGCTCTCCCTCTGACTGCCAAACCTTCCCAGGCACTGTCACACACCAGACGGGATTATCAAGCTGCCGTTTGCACAGAACTGCCTGGCCACGTTCATCCGGCAATAACTTGTGTGCACAAGGACAGGATAGGGCTGTGCCTACCCCATTTAGTCCGGGAGAATGTTGCCATGTTCACGTCCGCAGAAAGCAAAGGAGCGGGTACGGCAGAGGGCAGAATGCAACCTCCTCGTCCGCCGGTGCTGGGGGGCACGGCCAGCCCCTGCCGCAGTGAGGCCCGCCAGCCCCGGTGCTTTTCCTGCTGGAGTTATCGGGGCTCCCTGGGCTGGAGGGTGGCAGCCACGCACCCGGACACCAATTTACTGCAGATCAGGAGCCCTGCTTTAAAGAGCAGAGAGTTGAAGAACGGGAAGAGTATTTCAAAGAGAAGTAGAGGGGTGGGTTATATCGATAATACTTTTTTTTCTCTTGCTGTCCCTATTAATTACTGCTTGTTCCATAAGGCAGGGATATTATCAAGGCTTCCTATCTGCTGTTTTTAATCTCTGTCGAGAAATTCAGGAAGGCAGAAGGCTAGATATTTTAAAACAACTAGTGCACTGAATTTAGTTATTTTTCCTGTGGTGCACGTCCCTCTCGGAACAATTCTCTGTTGCAGGAGATTCTGGGAGAAACTCTGTACAGGGGCAGCTAGACTGGGCAAATAAAACTGTGCCTTCTCGCCTTAATCTATTCCTTGGTTAGCATCTTCTGCGTCTTTGTATTGCACACATCCCCGCAAACATAGACCCACGGAAGATGAGGCTTCCCCAAAAGCTTTAGTAACAGAGTTGAAAACTAAGTTTGGGGAGTAGTTTAGGGTTTGTTCCTACACAACAAGGCAATATCCTGCCTTTAAAGGACAGGTTTCAGTTGTCTTTCTTGAACAGTGCTCAGGATCTCTAAATGTCTAGAAATGCTAGAAACATTTTCTAGGTAAAACCAGCTACTTTTTCCACGGTGGAGAGTCCATAAAACTGCATGGAGCATCAGCTATTAGGGGCTCATTGAATAATTCATCCCTCATTGCAAGCCCATAATGTCTTTTCTCAGCCTTTTGTGGGGCTGTTTTCTCTTCTTTTCTCCTTGAATTATAAAAAGGTTGCCTTCTTTTGTTCACATCAAGCTGCTGCTAGCTGAAGCTTTGTCTGTGCAAAGCCAAAGTGTGAGTTTCAATGGACTCCCCCCTCTTTGTTTTCCAAGTTCATCTCCAAGTGTAGATTGTGTATAGAAGGCCTTCTTTGTAAAAGCTGGAAAAGTTGTACAAATGTTTGACCAGCTCATTTGGTACTTTTGTCTCGCCTTCACCAGTGCCTATGCATGTGCTGGGCAGCCACTTCCACGCACAGGCCGCCCAGCCGGGGCCTAGCCTGACCCTCCCCTCCAGC